GGTTTCCCTATAAACCCAAGCAAGCAGCATTTCAATCCAAAGTCCTTGTTGGTTTTCCTGACTCCCTGACCCAACCAAAAAACAGACACGCCCATAGGTGTTCTTTTTGGTTGGCTTGCTTAACAAATAGAGGGCCCTGGTTTAGATGGGGTTTGTTCCATTTACCAGGGCCATCCATTTTTCCAAAAGGCCACCTATGGACACGCCACGTCGGGGCCCCATGTGCAGGCAAAGAACCAGGGGACGAGTTCCACGTGGCCCTGCCTCCGCCACCGCCGGGCGCTGAGAGAGGCGGTTTCGAGGAGTTTTTGGGTTTCGAGCTCACGCTTTTGGGGCCACTCCCCTTTTCGGCGCGGTCGGTTTTCGGGATACCCCATTTTGGGTTGGGCTTAAATGCCAATTTGAGCAACGCGTGGACCAATTGTAGGTGAGGTTCTTTTGTGATCTTGAGGAGAGAAATGTTTGGAGGGCTGCCAAACCAGGCGACACAATTGACCTAACTGGCGAGGTTCTGACTCAACTGATGGTTAATCTAAGGGAGGCAATTGAGCTGACCAAACTTAGCTGGCCAAAGTAATCTAAACACTGTCAAAATCTGGCTGACTACCTCCTTCAGGAGGGGGCTATCAGCGATCCCTTCAAAGTTAACTACCAAAACAAATGATGCCCTCTTTTGCCGTTTTTGGGGCAGGGGGCAACACCCTTCGAAGTCAACTGCAACAACCATAATTGGTGCCCTGTGTTCGCTTGCCTTTTTTGTCTCGTATGGTATACAACCCCATCCTAGCAAAGGCAAGTTTGATCGAAGCTAGAATTTACTGGTTTACAATACGGGTGAAATAACTTCAAACAACCAGAATGGGGTTCGGGGCATATCACTTTGAAGGAAATCCAAGGGTCCACAGAGAGTGGAAACCACAAGCTGCGCAAACTCGGTGTTGTTTTCTTTGGGTACCCTGTTAAGCTGAAGCTACCTCAGGATCATGGGAGAGAAAGTCAGTTGGCCCCATACTTCTTGGTCAGGTCAAACAGCTTCATCCTCACTGTGCCAGAGGACAAGAAGGAAGGTGCAGACCTCACGACCATCGGGTTTGCAATTTCATCCCGTTTTTTTTGCCGGGGGGGGGGGAGGGGTAAATATACGGGGTGGGTTCTCGAAAGTGTAGACCTGAGGGTCCGACTGTGCAATCAAAATCGAGTTCGGGTGAGGGGCAGACCCCTTGCCATGAAAAGGTGCAGATATCCGCCCTTTTGATTTTGTTGGGTAGACCACTTCAATACCAGGCGTTGATGGTGTCTCAACCTATTTCTTTTCTACACAGAGGCGGCCCAGTCTGCAATTGAGCTTGAAAGACAAACCTCTGTCCCAGTGATTTCGTTCGGATGGTCCACTGGAGAACAACAAGTCAAGTGAACCTGTAGACATGTATATCACACATATTCGGTATATTATATATAAGTGTGTATACTTGTTTATATACAGAGTTTGTAAGTGTTGTTTTCAAGCAGGCAGTGTAATTTTGATTGTTTGAACACCCTCAACAGTTGTTCTTTGTTCCATGACGCCTATGTTTGTCCACCAAAGGTTTTCCATTGAAAGCTCACACGGAACCCGCAGCTGCAAACAGCTGCGTCTGGGGGTTGGTGGCCTTGTCGTCCAGGCGAGGAGGTCTTTTTCAATGCCAACGGCCAGAACATGCGGGCCATCATTCCAGAAGGCGCGGAAAGGACTCCCTGTCTCACTTCCCGAGTTCCGTTTTTCGGACTTACCACTTTTTTCTGGGCTTGGAGCATGGTAGCGGCGCACACAACAGAACAGTTTTTTCTCTTTTTGGGCCGGGGCGCTCAGGAAGTGAGGCGTGTGCGTTTTGTTGGAACCAAATGGAAACCAACTCTTTGTTTGGGCCCTATTTCAGACGTACCCTTAAAGCCTTATCTCGAGCTCAGGTCACTTGAAGCCATCACGAAACGGATCCCCAAAAAAGGCTTAATTCTTTGTTCCCTTGGTCGTGGACTTGTTTTTTGTTTTTATTCCCTTGGTCTTCAAATTTGGGCTTCCATTTCTCAGACGTTGAGATGAATCCATTTCTCAGAGCCTCAGAGCCTCTTTTTGTGGGTGGCACCCGACTTCAGTCCGTGCCAGGCAAGAAGCCTGGGGACACTTTTGAGGCCGATGAGACTTCGACGGCTGCACCGGGGGTTTTTGGCAAGAGCTGACATAGACCAAGACTGGAGGTGTGTTTAGGAGCGGGAGCATTTTTTTTTGACTAGATTGTAGTGTCCATGTGTTGTACCTCTTTTCTGTCCATCTCCCATAGCTCATTGTGCTCGGAATTGGTGGCACCGGGCATGGAAGAGTGCTTGATTGAGTCAGGGAGCTCTCGAGGTGACTTCAGGTGTCTTGAAGGCATCAACAAGGTTCCTAGGTTTGACACGGCCAAGCAGCTTGTGAAGTTGGCGAATTTGCTAGGGAAAATGCAGCCTTGTCCCCTGTTGGCTCAGGTACCCTGATTCAGCCATGGAGCTTTAGGTTCTACTTGGGTTCGTGTTTGAATGGTGTCCGTACCGCTTTGTCGGAGAGTGAAACCCTCAAATGTGTTCATCGATCCCTTCCCCTCATACTGAAGACTCGTGACACATATTTTTTGGAGAAAGGATCATACAATATCTCAGTTGGTAGAGGAAGGGATTCCATCATGTTTCATGCAGACCCCCGGACCCTCCAATGGAGAACCCCGACCCCTCGTGGGCCCTCCAAAAAAAGCATTGTGAGCCCAAGATCAATCGGGACCCTTACTTGGATGGTCTGGGATGAATCGCTAAATGACTAGTAACCCTGGTTGTAACCCACATACAATGATTGTAAGTGCCCTGTAACTAGGGTTACTCACCATTGAGCGATTCGTCCCAGACCATCTATAAGTAGGCGGACACTACCTGGAGTCTCCATCACCCTCAAAACATGGTTGGTCATTTCTAATTACCCCCAAAATCGTGGGTTCATGGACCCATTTTGTTTTTTTTACGGGTCAGAAGATTACCCCAAAATCATGGGTTCATGGAACCATTTTTGGAGGGTCATGGCCATTTTTGTTTTTTACGGGTCAGAAGGAGAGTCTGGGGAAAAAACCCTTCTGATTTGTCAGACGCTTTCGGCTGCAGCTCTTGGGACCCAGAAACCGCCGAGAGACGCCCAGGTCCATCTGGGGCCGAGCCAAGTGATGGTCACGGTGCCGGAAGGCAAAGACGCGGGCGAGGACCGGGTTTTGGTGTGGGGTTTGTTGGCCTTCGGCTTGGATGGGTTTGCCAGGCCCAGCTAGGTGCCTGACCTCTCACCCTTGCTTTTTGGGGGAATGCCAGGGGTTTCAGGGTTTTTGCCTTCGGTTTGGGTTGGATATGGGCTGTGGCTCAAAAAAGTGGTACCAACATGGCACCTTGGTAGATGGAAACAAAGACTAAAACCCGCGTAACCCTGGCCCTTCTAATTTTGAGCTATACTCATATAAATTCGAGCCGAGGGTAAATGGGACACCGTTTTGGAACACCGAGCCACGAGCCCAGGCCACCCTTTTTTGAGGGGGGATGGGTGACGGTGGGGCAGGTGACCTGGGGGTCTCGATTGATCTTGTGCGTTCTTGTGGAACTCGATTTTGCACGGAACCCTGTCTCAGTTGTTCAGTGGCACCCTTTTTCCTGTTTTTTTGGTGGCTGCCCCACTACGAATGGTCTTCCTAAATTGGGTTCCCTTTGTCTTCCAGGGTCACTGAACAACTGAGCTGTGCCATGCTTGCAAAGGTTGGTTTCTTTGGTTGCCCAGGCATAAACTCACTGGTTTCGGGGCGAACATTTGTCAACTTCGGAAAGAAGAAACAAAAAACAACGAGAAGGAGCGTACTAAGGGGTGGTTCTTTAAGGGGACTTGATAAGTTTTGGGGGTGCCTGGATTGATATCCGCAGTCCAGGCCCGCCTGGTCCTCAAGGCAAAAGAAGTCATACTGCGAATGGGCAAATCCTCTTGGCATTGTTCTCAGACTGGGACACAACCATCCCAAAAGTAGCAGGGAGACTCTCCAGATTGACACGGAGGCTACAAGCTGTTGATGCTGAGAGGAATGGGTGGACCTTCTCTTTTGGGTTCGAGGTCAATTTGCAGGGCAGTATAGTTGGCAGTAGAACCGCGGAGGGAATACAGGAGATTTATTGAATTGGTTTCGTTGCCCTTGTGTGGCAAGAAACACCAACTACAACTGATTAGGAGACTAGGTCCCCCAGTAGTCCCCTGTACCCTTTTTTGGAGGAGGGGGGTTCCCCTACTAAAATAAAGTACAGACAAAAGGACACCCTTATTGTAACCTCTCTACTGGAGGACCTAGGAGAGTTGGGCCTAGTGTTTTGGTTGGGTTCCCCAATCCGGCGTTTTTCCGCCCGCCGGTGTCCAAGAACGAGTTTTCCAGGAGGTGGAATTCCATGGGCCTGGGGGTGCCCTTCTGAAGGCGCGGAGACGACACGCCGTGGGTCCCAACGTTGAGCTATGGGAAACCACACCAAGGAAGCTGACTTCGGCTTGGCCGCTCTTCAAGAGAGTCCCTTTGTGGTTTCCAATAGCAAACACATCATGGTTGTCATTTTTGCTTGTTGTGGTTTAGTGGGAAATCCCCACTTAACTGCTAAAATTCAATTTGTTGCTCCCCTTCCAACGTCAACCAAGACATGGAATGGGAGTGGGATCACCCTATTTTTTGAGAGCCATGCCTTTTGTCAGTTCCATCCCAACGCCTTGGGCCCCTTTCGGTGACACCAGGGTCTCGGGAGGTTCAACCCAGGCCTGGGGTTTGACTGGAAGCCCAAGGAGCCTGGCAGACGGCTTTCGCTTTCGCAAGTCACAAGCGAAAAGGCGTTCCCCGTTTCTGTTGGGGGCTGCTTGCTCTTCTCAAGCTGACCTCCAGAAGTTTTGTTTCCCAAGTGGAATAATGGTCAAACGTCCAAACCAAAGAAACACC